TTGGATAAAAAAAAGTCTATGCGCATCTGATCTTCTTGAAATTCTACTTCCAAATGTAACTTAGAGCGCAAATTATATGGTACAGCCGGCTGTACCGTGCGCACGGTACAGCCGGACTTTTAGTTCGCGAATTGCAGACTTTCATCGCAGACTTCCGTCATCGCAAGGCTTCCATCGCAGGCTCCCGTCATCGCAGGGCTTCCATCGCAGGCTTCCATGGCCGATCATCCTTGCTCCGTTGCTCGCCGCCTACTAGCACCTCTCCCTTGTTCGACAACCGCAACCCTTCTGCAGCTCTCCTTCAGCTTCGTCCTTAACTTCGCACGTTCTGTTCCTTTCTTTTCCTTTTTCTATTTTTCTCACACTGATTATTTTAGTTTGGTGGTTTTTGGGTCAGGGATACCTAGGTTGTACGTAATTCTAAAGATATGAGCATGCGCAAATAAAAGTTTGAGCATGGTGGTGATTTTAAATGAGCCTAAAAGAAATGAGTATACGCCTAAAAGAAATGAACTCACACAAACTAATATTGAACACATTGAAAATGAGTTTCATGTAAAATTGAAATGAGTATAACACCAAAAAATGAATGAGCATACTCAAATGAGTTTTTTGAACGCTCATTTTGTAATTTATGTATACTCATTTGAAATTAGTACAATACTCTTTTTAAAATGTCATATTCATGCATATTTCAAAATGAGTTTTAAGTTAAATTCAAATGAGTATTATGCCCAAAATGAATGAACACAAAAAAATGATTTTTTAATATTTTGATACTCATTTTGTAAATTATGTATGCTCATTTGGTATTGTTTTATGCTCATTTTAAAATGATGCACATATCAAATATACGCCCAAAATCAATGAGCATACACAAATAAAGTTTTGAATTTTTTTTATACTCATTTTATAAATTATGTATGCTGATTTGGTACTGTTTTATGCTCATTTTAAAATGATGCACATATCAAACATATCATACTACATTAGATTCACATATTGAAATTAATTATAAACATAATTTAAGATTTTTAATTTTTATAAATGAAAAAATCATAAAAAGAAAACGAATTAGAAAATATGAAGCAGAGATCACTGATGCTCATTGTTAGACTTTTAATACTCAGAAGAACAGGCTCGATGCTCATCAAAATTACATCAATGCTCATTTACGAGAAACCACAAACTTCATGAAAATTACAAAACTGCCACCGGCTGTACGATGCCAGCCGTACAGCCGGCTGTACGGTATACGCTTCCTAACTTAGAGGTAGGTTGGGTTTTATTTGAATTACCGTACTTGAAAATTGCATGTAAGTTGATCGTGGGTGGATTACCTATTTTTTAGGTAATTATATTGGCAATTGATAAAGCAAGAACCAGACCGGACTGGACGGGTCGACCCAGAAACCAGCCACCTGGTACTTTACCAGGACCGGTTACAAAGCCCGTTTTGACTCAAGAGCGAGCTGAAATGCAAATCGGGCTAGTTGACTAGAATCGGGCTGATCTTTAGGTTTACTTATTACTTTTTTTTGAGAGGTTTACTTATTACTTTAGCACTCCGTATTACGTACTCCGTTGTATAACTTGTATTTAAACGTACTCCGTTGTATAACTTGTATTTAATATAGAGTTAATTATCAAAATAGGACTAAAAGTCATAGACTTTGCACAAATAGGACCAAAAAATAAACTATGTTTCCATAGGACTAATTATGTTTGTCTTGGACAAATATACCCTTATACCTATTGGAATGTTTTAATTCATAATAAAATAATAAAAAATAATGAAAATTCGTAAAATATACCAAAAAATTAATAAAAATATTTTGAATAATAATAAATTTAAAAAAAAAATTTAAAAAATAAAAAATAAAAAAAAATAAAAAAAATTAAAAAAAAAATCAAAAAAATATTTTTTTGTCACCGCCGCCTATACCGCCCCAGCACCACCACCTCTCTCGTTGTATGCTCTGCTTCTCATTTTACCACCACCTCTCTCGTTGTATGCTCTGCTTCTCATTTTGTCTTTTTCCTTTCTGCTTTTGTTTTTCATTTGTATTTTCTTTCAAAAATTAGCTGCTGCACGTCAAGAAGATGGTTGCTACGCTGTGCCGCTGCTATTTGGGGACATCTGCTAATCTGCTATTGGACACCTTATGATTTTTTTTTTAGATTTTAGTTGAATGCTTTTAGTTTTATGGGGATTTTTGGGTTTTGGAATTTGCTTGGCTACTATCAGGTGTGATTTCATTGGATGTATTGATGCTTCTTTATGTTATTATTATTATTATGAATATATGAGCATACACAAATGTATATTTGAGCACACTACATATATCAAATGAGTTTTTGAATTTTTGATACTCATTTTGTAAATTATGTATGCTCATTTGATCTCAAATGAGTTTATATTAAACTCAAATGAGTATACGCATAAAAGAAATGAACATACACAACTGAATATTAAACACATTATAAATGAGTTTTATGTTAAAATCAAATGAGTATAACGCCCAAAGCCAATGAGCACACAAATGGGCTTTTGATTTTTTTTATAATCATTTTGTAGGATATGCATGCTCATTGGGTACTGCTTTACGCTCATTTTAAAATGTCGCGCCATTTCAAACGTATCATACTACATTAGATTTACATATTGAAATTAATTGCAATTGATTACAGACATAATTTAAGAGTTTTTATAAACGAAAAAAATAATAAAAAGAAAGTGAATTAGATGATGTAAATAATGTATACTCATTTTGTAAAGATATTATGCTCATTTTAAAATGTCATATCTATACATACTTCAATAGTACCATATTACATTGGATTCACATAAGAGTCGATTATAGATACGAGAGCACATACAATGATACTCAATTACATGTTTCTAATACTCAATAGAAGATGTTTGATGCTCAATGAAAATGTTTGGATGCTCAACTAAAAATACTTATGATTTTCATACCAATGATCATTTTATAAGTTATGTATGTTCAATGAGTACGCATGTTATGCTCATTTGTAAAATGTCATATCAATGCATATTATAAAAGTATCATATTAAATTAAATTCGTATATTGAAGTTCATAAGAGTTGATTATAGATATAATTTAATAAGTTTTTATAAAGAAAAAAAATAAGGAAAAGAAAGTAAATTCGAAGAGATGAAGCCGAAATCATAATGCTCATTGTTAGGCTTATAATGCTCAGCAAAATATGTCTGATGCTCACTAGACGTGTTTTAATGCTCATTTAACAGGATACGCGAATTTCATGGAAATTACTAAAATGCCACCGGCTGTACGGTTCTCTCCATACAGCCGGTTGTACTATATAGGCTTCCGGCAGGGAGGGTATTCCAAACTTAATTTAGGGCCCGAACAACTCTTGTAATTAACTAAGGAGTAGTATTCTAGTTCTAGTAATACCCGACCGATTACTACATACATGCTCTTTCAGAATTTCTGAAAAGCGACTCTTCGACTCCAAAATCCAAATTTGACGAAGAGATGACCAGTGGACTATAGAGCTTCCGTAAATAGTTCGATCAGTGGTTTAGTTAAAGTTGTGACTTATCTCGAAATTTCCATTCTATGTCTTTTAAGTTATTAATAATTAATTACTCTAATTATTTCAATTCCTGTTTGTTTTATCTCAAAATAAGCAATCCAATAATTTGCTTTTGATGAAGTGTTCTTTATATTTTTTGTGTACGTACTTCGTTGGTATCTTTATTATTCATTTTCTATTTTGACCGTTTTCCATAATTAGTGTAATAGCTTATTAGTGTAATAGTGGATTTCATTCATCTTTTTCTACACTCATTCATCCTTTTTCCTCACAGAATCAATAAGCAATGAGAAACCTTGTTGGTTCATTGGAAATTGAGGCATGTACTTGTTGAATTGTTTTCTTTTAGTTTTGGTTGGAAGGAGTATTGATATATGATGATGTGATTTGCACCTTAGATTTGATTCTTATTCGATGAATGCTATAGCTTTGTTAATTACTTATACTTTTGTTCGTTCAAAAAAGACATTTTCTTTTATCATTACCAACCAGATACTTCGATGAATGTTATAGATTTGTTAGATATAACTTTTGTTCGTTCAAAAAAGACATTTTCTTTTGGACGGACAGGAGGGTGTTTGTATTATGGGGGAATTTGATTTTCTATCACATGTTTTGGGTTGTATTGGACTTTATACCAACATTTTCGATATCATTATTGTGTTCGCTCCATCAGCGAAAAATTGTGAATAAGCGTGCGTGGTACAAAGTCAAATAATTTTATACTAAGTTGAGGTGTATATATTAATAATTTTGAATATATGATACAAAGTCAAATATCACTCAAATAATGAGATGCATAGTCAAATTTTTCCTTGTATTAGTTTTATAATCCGTGGTGAATGAGGAGTTAAATATGCAAACTACACAACAAATTTTGAATTTTTGTTTGTTTAAACTACTGGTTGTGTAGATTGGTTTTCTAACTACATACCTTTGGTTTTAAGTCAAAATTATTGTTTAACTACTGGTTGTGTAGATTGGTTTTCTCAACTACTTTGTAGTTAAGCAAACCAGGACCAAGAAATGCATGGTTGAATCGAACCTACATTCCTACACCTACCAGGCTACCATTTAACTCATTCCTGTTCAATCCAACCCATATTTCTGAATTATCACCCTGGTAATATATAATGAAATACTACATGCATGTGCATATATACTTATTAACATGTGTAATAACATGCATGCATGGTATGCAATTGATGCAAAAGAAGTGTTACAAACTATTTATTCGGCTCACATGCAGTACAAAAGCAAATTAATAAGGACAAACACAAAATGTATAGTATCAACTTTTTAAATTGTGTCCGTGCGCGTGAAATTAATGCAATCGAACAACTTGTCAAGTTGTCATATAGTAGTAAAACACTAATTTAAGTACCAATAATAATACGTATAAAACTGGGTCAAAGCCATTTAATATATCTCCCAGCTATATCCACATCTATATATCTTGCATACATAAACCTTGGTTTGTATCCAGACACATAAAAGAACTTTCTACTTTTTTCCTAAGAAAACCCCATTTACGATATTCTTCACAAAAATGGGTACTAGGAAGAATAATAGGATAAGTGCGTTTTTGGCTTCAGCATTGTTACTATGTTTGGTTGTAGTAACAAGTATAGGAGGAGGGGAAGCTGCTTCCCAAGTTCCAGGTTTATTCATATTTGGGGATTCATTGCTTGATAATGGGAATAACAATAACATCAATTCCCTGGCTAAGGCTAACTACCTTCCCTACGGCATTGACTTTCCCGGCGGCCCTACCGGACGGTTCTCCAATGGCAAAACCGCCGTTGACGCTATTGGTACGTATATTATACTACATTTATTTGTACTTCTAAGCCTTTTTTGATGTTTTGAATCGTGTACATATTTATTTATTGTTCAAAATAAAATGCAGCTCAACTTTTGGGTTTCGACAACTTCATCCCGTCTTATGCAACGGCGTCGGGTCAACAAATTCTCAAAGGAGTCAACTATGCTTCTGCCGCTGCCGGAATCAGAGAAGAGACCGGCAGACAATTGGTACGAAACAATAGCATTTGGAACTTCCAATCATATATAATGCAAGTCTATTATGTTTAGTTAATTACTCCCTCAGTCTCAAATAAAAAATCTCTTTGATGCCTATATAAAAGTTTCACATCTTAATATTAGCACACCTATAACCCACGCTTATCATTAACTATCTTATTACTCCTACTCAAACTACGTTAGATTAGGAGTATATATTACATACCTACTCAAACTATGTTAGATTTTCAGTTTCATCCAAAAAAACTTAACTTGATACAGAGGAGTACATAGTTCATATTCTTATACTATCTCCGTTCCTAAAAATCCTTTCCGGTTTGACTTGGCACACTTATTAAAAAGTGGAATAAAGTGGAAACGTGTGGTTATGGTTGTGTAAGAAAAAGGTAAGATGAATGTGAGCTACACAAATTGTCCAAAAAGAGAAAGTGGGAAGTATTTTTGGGAACGGCCCAAAAAGGAAAGTGAGAAGTATTTTTGGGAACGGAGGGAGTACTTCATATATAGTGTTTTATTATTTCATTTACTTTAACACGCCCCTCAGTCTAAATCGGGTTGGACAATTAATTTGAAATGTTTTAAAAAGTGTCAATTACTTTAATGTGAAATGTTTTAAAAAGTGTCAATTAATTTGCATTAAATAATCCAACCAAATAGTGTAAACATTTTACGTCCTTACATTTCACATGCACATACAAAGTAATTATTTTACATCCTATCGAACGCCCTATAAGTATAATCCGTAGAGCATCTCCAATGCTAAAACGTTAACGGTGCAATCGTGGCACGAGAGATAGCCAATCCAAAAACAATAAATAAAATGTCTCTCTCCTTATTTGAAGGATCTTATATCATTTTGATAAGTTTTTCTTCACAATGTCAAGCACAATACCCCACTTCTTCCTCCCCACAATTTACGGACACAAATGTTTCAGTCACTTCTACATACTTCCCGAGTAATGAGCCTCATAATCAACAAGAGGATCTGGAGGAGGCAGATTTAAAGAGACTTTCTAGCTTGGAAGAAGTACTCAACAAATTAGCACAAAATCAGCTGAGAGCAGACTCAAGGATGCAAATGATTGAGACAAGGATGCAGAACATGGAGAATCAATTGGGGCAGATTGCAAAGGCTTTATCTGAGGAGTCCGAGAGATCCCATCCTAGTGACACAAAAGCCCAACCTGAGGAGACCAATAGGGATGATCATGTGAGTGAGTCGGACTGTGAAGGTGGAAATATGATGGATGATACCTTCCTAGATGCTTTTGAAGACCCTGATGAGAACAGTGTTAACGAGAGTTGGGATGCCTTCATGGGGAGCGATACAGAGTCTGGAGGAGAGGTTGTGAATTTTCATGATATTTGTGAGGAAGAAGAAGACTTTTCTATGGTGCAGTTTGATTACGAGGATGAGAGTTTCATACTTCACTTCTGTGCTGATGAGGGTTATGAAGACCATGTGCTGCCTTCGTGTGCTGATGAGGGTTATGAAGACCATGTGCTGACGAATTTAAAGATCTGCGCCACCTAATGACATTTGTTGAGAGGAAGCTGGAGACGTTGACTATAAGTGCACCACTACAGTCTTTGTTATTGGAGAGCCTATGGGGTAGTTGTGTCGGGCAAACGACGTTAAAAATAGCGCTTCTTGGGAGGCAACCCAAGCTTATTTCTGCATTTTTTTTGTTTGTTTGTTTGCTTTCAGAAAACCCCCGGAAAAAAAAACCAAAAAAAAACAAAAAAAAAAAAAACAAAAACCGGGGTGTTTTTTTTTGGGTTTGTTTTGTGTTTTGTTTTTGCAGCTCAGGGTCTTGCTTTGGGGATGATGTGTCGAGGATCATTTGACTCAGTTTAGTTCTACACCGACCAGCGCCTTAGGGAAGTTTTTATGACTCTTATAATCGCCTGTTTGTAATAATTGACTTGAGTTAAGTTGAGCACGCGTGACCCTATCCTGTTTACCCCCTTGTGCATAGTGCATTTTTGGTCATCGAGGACGATGTCAAAGTTTAAGTGTGGGGGAGTGAATTGGGCATTCGGGCAGTAGTTGTTACATGTGATTATTAGAGTTAGCATGCACAGGGTGTTAGTTGTATATTCTTAGAAAATTCATGTCAAAATTTTTGAAATTTTTTCTTTAAACTGTGTCTTTGTGAGCTGGCTAGCGTTTTGACTATGCTTTTAGAATGTCCTTGAAGTGTTTAGGCTTAAATTGCTTGCATGATAACTTGGTTTTTGAAAGGATGAAGGCATTAGTCACCCATTGTATGAACTGACAAAGTTCCCATTTACCTGAATAAGTTCCTGTAGGAGAAGCCATTTTGAGCCTGACCGTTCTTTGTTACCCAATTAATTGAGCTACATAGCCAAATGGCCTGTGTTCCTTACCCGTGAATATTTCTGACTTAGTCTTGATGTTTAGGGAACTAAGGGATTAATTTGCTAAGTTTAGAGAATTTTGTGTAGGAGCCATTTTGGCACTGTTCCTATGCCCCCAAATGGGGTAAGAGCAGTCACTTTTTAGGAATTTGATACTTTCGAGGATTGCATTGTAGGCATGGATTCACTTTTAAATAAATGAACCTTAATTGCTATTTTTCCTTGGTGAAGCCGAGATTAGAATGGGGTAATGTCTAGTGAGAATCCGAAAGGTGAAAAATTAATATAACTAGACCTCTTGCCTTACGAAAAAGAGAATGGGAGCCCCGGTCAAAAAGCGTAAGATGAGACTTGGGTATCTTTCGAAAGAAATGGCGTTCTCGTGCCAACATGACAAGGAAAACTAAACATAATTAATGAACATGGAGGCTATTGAAATTTAGCTTTAGTCCTCCGTGTACTTCAAGTATACGTCAAAGCACAAATGTGCCGCGGCGGTTTAGCTTAGTTGTACACCATGTCTACTCTTAGCATAGGTTTAAATGTTTGTTCCTAAATTGTGGCCTACTGAGTTCTTTATTCCTAAGAATAGCTCTGAAGTTCCTGAATACATTGAGTCTTTGTTAGAATATTCCAATCTCTCAAAAGAAAGGGACTATTTTTGTTATCCATGGACCATTCACCACCACCTTCACAAGTCCTTCTGATCGATAGCTAGTTTATTTGTGTGTGCTGTCACTACTTTGAGGATGTTGTGAATAATTTTGTCAAATATGTTAGCTAGAGTACAAAGATGTAGTTTAGGGAAGAATTTTCTTGGTTTAGACTCTCTGTTCTGTGAATATCCCTTTAACTACGTGTGCATGCTAATTGTTTTGACTCCGTGTGGTGATTATCGTAAGTCCCGTTGTTCAGTTTGCTTGAGGACAAGCAAAGGCTTAAGTGTGGGGGAATTTGATAAGTCCGTGTTTTGACACGTATTTGATGCGTGTTGAGATCGGCTTTTGATCATTTTCCTAGTTTTAAGGTGTTGCAAGTCTCAATTTTAGCTCAGGTTATGTTTACCAGGCGTTGGTTCGAGTTTTGTGTCATTTGGAGTCAAAATCAGGAATTTAGAGTTCGGCACCGGCACTTGAGGAACAATCGGGATGATTTGAGAAGCATTTGAGAATGATTTGATAGCTTTGGAGGTCACCGGAAGATTCACGATGAAGATTTGAAGGAAAAAGAGCTCTAGGATTGGCTATGGGGTCAAAAGAAGATGAATGAAGCTTGAAAACGACGATCAGGATGACCTTCTGTCAATCGTTCAAGCATATCTCTTTGTAGAAACATCCAATGTACACGATTCAAGCTTCATATGAAAGCTACCTTCAAGGGATACAAATCATATGAAGACACCTTGGCGAGAATCTGAGAGGAAGAAGGTGAAAACAGACGATGAAGTCAGATGATCTCTGCTGCGATTTCAGAAAGACACCTTCCACCGTTTTGATCATATCTCTTGATTGGATGATTCAAATCACATTCGGCAAATTGGAGTGTATAGAGGACTTCATTATCTACAACTTTCATGAAGGAAGTTTTGTCAAATTCAGAAGTTAAGTAGGCACGATCGTTCCCTCAAAGTCAGACACGATCGTGCCCGAAGAGAAAAACACGGTCGTGCACGATCGTGCCCAAAACGCGCATTTTGGGCAGGCACGATCGTGCCTGCCCAAAATGCGCGTTTTTGCTCCGGAGGCACGATCGAAGGCGCGATCGTGCCTGGCATCGTGTCTGGCTCCGAAAATCCTAATTCAGCTCAAATTTCACCCGATTTTTCTATTTAAACAGCCTGTAAACCCCCGTTTTCAGGGGGAGCTTAGAGAGAGTGCCTAGCACGAATTTTAGAGGGATTTTCAGCCTTGTTCATCAATCTTTTGGTATTCTTTGTAAGTTCCACCTTTTTAATTAATGACAATTAATTCCTTTTATTCCAATTCTATTGATTCTTCAATTATGAAGTGTGAGTAGTTTTAATTAGGGATTTGGGATTGATGAAGGGGTTAATCATGATGTATGGCTAGATTCTTTTCGGTTTAATTGCATGAATGCCGTTTAATTTGTGTTTGAATAATTTAATTGATATCTTTTGTAACCTAGAATCGCGACTAGAATTGCAATTGCATGTAGAATAAATTAAGAGAGATCTAATTTGTTCTAGGACACATTCACACACACTTAATCGTTCGCTAAGAGATTAGTAGCGATTAAGGGGCCGTAAGCTCGCTCGTCTTGGCAATAATTTAGGATCCTGTCGCATGAGAGATCAGCCTGGTCACCTAAATTATTGTACTCTACGCCGCGAGAGCGGTAAGAACTTATAAGTAATGATTAGCTAGGCTCAATTAAATTAATTTCATGTAATTAGGCCTGATCTGCCAGAAATCTGGTTACCCCGGAATCGATCCATGTTCCCTTCGTCATTAATTAGAAAGAACCCCCTAGTTTAATTGTTCGCATTAGTTTTATTTTCCAAACCAACCAATTCTCGCACGACGCTTTATTTTTTTTTTTTTTAATCGCTGAATTTAATTAATTCTTGATTCCCTTTTGTCCGTCCCTGTGGAGACGATACTCGTACTTACACCACTATATTACGATCTATTTTAAGTGCGAGAAAACACACATCACTTGTCCAAATTTTGCTAAAACAATTTGGCGCCGTCTGTGGGAGACGTGCAAGAAAAACTAATATCCATGGAAGGTCATAGCTCAATGACAAAGGCGGGACTCAAGATGCAATCGCAAGTTGGGAAGGAAGAAACAAAAACTATCATCTTGTCAATTGCTCGTACACCATCCATGTAACACTTAAGATTAATATAAAAAGGATTAATAGGACTACTCATACCAACAGAGATGCATGACTGAGGGCGCGCATGAGTGAGGACAAAGTGCGCGGTAAAGGCTCGTGGTGGTTTGTGGGGACAGTACTAGTGGTCTGGAGTAACTACCTCGGGTCCTATAGGGCCGGGGTGTTACAAACCGTCACCGCTGGTTTCATCTCGTTGAACTCGACAACACCTTACAGACTTAAAAATGCTGGGAGCAACTCTCAATGGCCAATGACGATGGTGTTCAAAAATCAAAGCGGGAAAACCATGGAATTGTGTGCAGATGATGTGATGATTTCGTCAAAGTGTACTATTGGAGCCTCCTTATGTGGTTGGGTACTTAGGCGCATTTTCGGTAGCAAAGCAATTGCAAAGAATCCAAAAATGAAGGGAAACATTGACATCATCAAAATCCTGACGACTTGTTTCGATGAACGTACCACCCAACAAGCTAAGTCCCGAGGGAAGAGAATACGCAGGATGATGATCTGGCGGATCTAGGAATGTGTCGGGCCTTGGAAGTCAGTAGAAACGACAAATTGGTGTATTTGACAAAACTGACGATTGATAGATCAGGCGAAATGTCTGAAGTCGTCGGCTAGGGGACATATCTCCCAATAATAAACAGATTCTGAAGAGCTGCAATACAGTACTCCTAAAGTTGTTTCACATTTAGTTTATTACTTTCTTTTACATATTGTCGTCATTCCCGTAATGAAATAGACCAGTCGACATGACTGAAAACGTCAGACAGGGGGGCATGTCATCAGGTAATAAACCTGACGAGATGAGTGAAATCGTCTGGCTATAGATGTGTTATGACGATAGATACTTGGTCTCATATACATATTCTTAATTTATTACTTTCATTTATCTATAAACGATCACTAACTTAAGCGTCGGAGGGCCGTAGGCTAAAAGCCAACGACCAGACTCTAACAACATGTCTGTATGCAGGATATCGACGAAATGAGAGACAGTCAGTACTGTATACACACAATGAAAAATGCTAACGATAACTAAACACAATCCCCTTACTACGTCAAAAATGGGATGATTGAGCTTCAAACCAAGGGCCGACGTTAACAATTTCTTTTTTGCACATGAACTGTTGACAATGTACGAGATGATGTCCTAACATACAAAGCCTTACAACACGTCAAAACACAATTGACAGGGGGCTTATATCAAATAAAGCCTTACAACACGTCAAAACACAATTGACGGGGAGCTTACATTAATCAAAGCCTTACAACACGTCAAAACACAATTGACGGGGGGCTTACACCAAACAAAGCCTGACAACACGTCAAAACACAATTGACGAGGGCCTTACATCAAACGAAGCCTCACAACACGTCAAAACACAATTGACGGGGGGCTTACAGAATTTAATGGGAAGGGTTAGGCTACCATGAGAATATCATGGATCACAGTCCTAACAGAGCCCATACAATACGTTTTGGCCAAAACCTACAATGCACGTGCAACCAAAACATATATGACAACACACGTATAACAAAACTACAAAAATATACAACAGAAGCATATGCTCCAAAAGCATGACAACAGAAGCTCCAAAACATAAGGAGACACTACGAACGACAATGACACAAATCACACACACTCATGTCAACAATGTTGAAAAAATTACAAACGAAACATTATTCAAAGTCTTTACAGGTTATGGACTATGTTCACACAACCCAACTCGTCATCTTTAACAACGGGTGATGTTCCCTTTTCCAGTTAAAGTGTCGACATCGTTGACATGATGATGCTGTAAATTTCTGTCAACTAATCGTCAGCACAACTTTGGAGGGATAAGGACAAAATTCTAGCTTGCAGGCTTCATTGTTTCAGTCAAGGAGACAGATCTAATCGGAGGTTATTTGAAAGAAATACGGAAGCATTCGGTCAGACAAGTTGATCAACATGTCACGACGCAATAAACCAAGATCCGAAGTGTACTTTAACATTTTCGACAAGTTGTTGCTGACATATGCATGCTACGCCTCGACTTCTCGAAAGGGGGCTATTGTTGGTACAAGAATTTGACAACATGGAAGGCTTGACGGGGCAATTAATGACGTATTTATTAGAATTAATGCTAGCTGATTAATTCTAGCGGTTTCATGTATATTATGAGAGTTATTGCTGTAATTAGGGCGTAGGTTACTCAAATGGCTGACCAGAATTTATGACGACATAATGACGACGACTTTGATGTCGCCGTAACGGTCAAAACCATCAATAACGGGCAAAAGGAGATTAAATGTCTCTCTTATAAATAGAACCCAACTCCATTGTATTCAGGGGCCACCCATTCGAAGAACACTCTAAATTTCACTCTATTTTGCTCTCATAGCATCTTTCTTGTTGTTCTTGTCATCTTCTTTACCTTTCTTGTACGAGAGCCAATCAATACACAATCATTCATGTACATTTTTTTTGTTCTTGACTAACATGTAAGTATTTTTCTCATCAACTAAACTTTCAAATTTCAATACTATTACATTTCCCAACATAATTGATGGTACTGGAAACTCTCGCACAAGTATATAAATCTTTATAACATTATTAAGCTCACCTCTAAATTCTACCATTTCTACGTAGTAATAGTCTAACCCTTACCTCTCATAAAGGTTCAACATGAACTTCTCCTTGTCAGCTGTGATCTATCTAAATCCGTTGATATAGCAAACATTTTCTCTCCAAAAACAACCACCGTAAACAAAACCATTACGAAGATATCAAGGGGAAAATCCCAGAATATTATTAAATCGTTTGAGAATTCATAAATAGGACTGTCATGTTATTATTCCCTAAATATGAGTAATTATTGTCTTGTTTAGAAAACAGTGTCATGTTTAAAATTTGGTACTGCCAAAACATCTCAATAGTTACTCATATTTCGAAAATGAAAACATAATAGTCATATTTTGGACGAAATTCCAAAATGTTTTTATTTCTATTTAGTCTGATTACCCAAATATCATGTAATACTTAATTACGTAGTACTCCCTCCGTCCCGGCTACATCTTTACGTTTGCTTTTGGATCGGTTTTTTAGGAGAGCAATTAATGGAATATGAAAGCCCTTATATACCCTTTGGCCCTGGTGTAGACCTTGTTAATCTACGAAGTGGGGCTTTTCCCACTGACTTGACGGGTGAGCAGTACCAGGGAGTTGGAGTTGATTTTTTTTACTGCATGCGGCTGTTAACTCCCCCATTTCTTAATTAATTCAGCTCAAGTGGGACGAAAATACAAAAGTGGAGGGAAACACAAATTTTGGAGGGAAAACAACACAAATTTTATGTTTGAACTCAAATTAAAAGGTGAGTCCATTACAGCAGTTCACAAACACCATTATATAGGTCTCTCAAGCCACACAATATTCAGTCTCTCTACAAAGCCTACACTCAGGAGTTCTCAATGAACACAAAAAAATTAAGCCCGCAAGAGAGAACTCAAATTGCAGAGATTTTATTAGCCTCTTCTGTCAATGGGAAGCTGCGTAGGGGTTTAATTTCTGTTGTTGCTGGTCAGTTTTCTTGTTCAAGGCAGACCATTAGCACCATTTGGAGTGTTATGCAGAAGCAGTTACTCTTGAAAATTCCTATTGATGTTAAGGCCAAGTATAAAGGGCGGCCTAGGCAGATTGGTCCGTTGGAGATCTCCAAATTGCTTGATATTCCTCTACACAAAAGAACAAACATTAGAACCCTAGCAAAGTCTCTTGAAATGTCAAAGTCACAAGTGCACAGCCTGGTGCAAGCAGGTGAAATCAGATCACATAGCAGTGCAATAAAGCCATTTCTTACCGAGGAAAACATGAAAAAAAGGTTAGAGTTCTGTCTTCTCAAACTGAACCCTAGAAGTATTGGATTAACACCAACCTTTGATGCATTCTACAACTACGTTCACATAGATGAGAAATGGTTTTTCTTAAGTAAAACTACTCAAAAATACTACCTGCATCCTGCTGAAATAGATCCGGTCAGGACTTGTAAATCCAAAAGGTTCATTACAAAAGTGATGTTCTTGACAGTTGTGGCTAGGCCAAGATTTGGTCGAAATGAAGAGGTATTATTCGATGGGAAAATAGGGAT